TTTTTTTTTTTCATTGTTCGTGCTGCCCCTTTGCCATTTCAATTGTCTGTTATGCTAGTTTGGTGACTTTTGGTTATTCACTGCATGTGAATGGTGCTTAATGAGTTGGAGTTAGTTCTGATAGTTGATTTGCCCATTTTCACTGTTGGTTATGCTAGTTTAGCGACTTTTTCGTTATTCACTACATGTAAATGTGCCTAGAGTTGGAGTTCTTAGTTCTGATAGTTTCTGACCTCGTTCTTTCTGGAAGTTCAAGTCTGCTAATATTTGTATTTTTTTTTTTTCCTTTTCAAATTTCGTCACCAAATCTTGTATACTATTTGTTTGCCTTTCTTTGTCACTTCAGGATTCAGTGTAGATCAGGCACATGCTCAACACCTATTCATGTTACATCTTCACAGTTGATTTCTAGAAGTTTTCCCTGTACCAGTGGTGAAAGGCCTTCTCTATCCTGGAGCCATCGTTAATAGCCTCATCACAAACATGACTCTGCCTAGCTGGAATAACTTGCTCGATATTTATAACTTGACTGACATTAAAAACTCCTCTGCAGTACCTGACCTACAGCGCTTAGAGGTTTGCCTTCGGCTCCCCATCTCTTTCTCTCCATCTGTCCCTACAGTCTTCTGCACAGAAACACAATTACAATTGATTATTTTTTTTTTCTTAATTTATTGTCCTGAAAAGTGATTTTAATTGATATCTGATCAGGTTCTTGCCGGAAGCTACTTCTGTGTGGCTGGCTCACTCATTAACATCATAAAACCTGGAAGAATGAGCATGTTCGGGACCCTCCTTGTTGTCTGGGGTCTCGTAAAGGAAGGGATTCTCAAAAAGCTTGTGGACACTGATCAAACAACTGTGTTCGTGTACCCAACAATGTTAGTCACTTTGGTTTGTGCTTTCTTATCCGTAAAATATGATGTTAAGAAGGTGGTCAGAAGTGCCTCTGCCCAACCCGTGGCAAAACCTCTCAAGAGCTCGTCCAAATCCAAGCTGAAATGATTGAGGATTACGATTTTTTTTTTCTTTACCAGAATAGAGTGCACTTTGCTGTAATTTTTCTTGTATTTTAGCCTTTTTTTTGTTTGTCTTCAAGGAAAACCTAGATTTTTTGTTAGTTTTGCAGGTTTGATTGTCACCTTGTGGCTTGTAGAAAGGAAACATGAGGATGTTTAAGACGGAAACAAGCCCTTTCCGTCGTCACTTCCCCCAATTTGTATTATGTTATTTCTACCAGAACACAGAGTGTCATGAGTTTAAAGAGAAAAAAAAAAAAAAGAATCTGCGGGATGGTCTTTTAAGTAATGAAATATGGGCTTGAGAGATTTTAAGCAGTTTATGGCAATTTGGTGGGCAAATCTTAGCTCTATATTTTGGCAACAAACTCGAAAGGCTGGCAAAAGTAACACGAATATACACACACTCTTTTTGAGTTGAATCGAGCTATAATGGATGTGCCGTTAAATATTTGATTTTGAGGTGCTCTGGGAGGCAGAAAATGTACAGTTCAGTCCTTTGCTTAGAAAATATGAACAATCTGAATTTTCATATATGCTATCACAGGGCTATGGAATGAATTTGCTTAGAACCTATTCATGTAACAAAAAAAAAAAAAAATCTACTTCCTGAAAATTAATACTCTCTTTCAAAAGTTTTCACTACATAAAAAACAAAATGGAGCAGGATATCACAGCACTAGGTCTGAGTAGAAACACTGTACTGCTACAAAATCACATATTCTAGGCATCTCGGCCGAACTACACAGTTCCTGATTTGATTTCCACTTTCTTCCAGGATAGATTTTATTCAATTTTCAGAAGTCTCCTGGCTCAGCACAAGTCGAGCCCCTCTTCAACTACTGCCAGCTGACGCCTGATTCTTGATCTTTCTCATGAGCTGCTCGTCAGCATATCATGCGTTTCCCCTTTAATGCTCAACTCCTTGACAAGTGACTCACAGTCTATGAGGTTAACCTGCCGTGCCTACACCTATAGAATAGTTTCAGATACATTCAAATACAAGTAACCAAGGTTCACCAATAGGAATTAGGTCACGAAAAACATATATTGCAGTAATTAAGCAAGAAAACGACAATACAGAACACCCAAATTTACAATCAACAGCCTTTACAGCAAGAATAACACAATAAATCTCACTGAAGAATGACCTGCAACGCGAAATCATGAATTATTGAACTAAGATATTCATATTCAGCAACCCAAATAAAATAGAGGATCAAGTAAAATGAAAAAATGAGAATGAACAGATCCACGACTTTGAATTTTAATTAAAATCAAAGTACATGAATAATACACCAAGTTTAATTAGTTTACAAAATAAAGGATCAAGATATACCTTTTGGAGGCTCTGTGGTGAAAGAAATCAACATCAAACACATCCATTGCCACACAGAAAAGCTAAACCAAGAAAATGGGATGATTGCTGCAATTTAAAGGAACTTTCTCCTTTCCAAGTTCAAAATGCTTCTGGCATTTCAGATAACATTTTGAATTCAACGTACACTAGTTTGTCATAGATAATAAAGTATGATGGGGCAAGAAAAGCTCCTGCATCACAACGCCTAAGTTACCTTTCCGAAAACTTTTATCTACAAGTCCATACATACATGTTGCTCAACGGATACACCAAAAATATAAAGCGGCCGGTCAAGTGTTATGGATACAACACACGAGTCTCATCCTCATCCTCATCCGCGTTATGCACATCCGTGCGTAGAGAATCAAGACTGCAATTTTGCGGGACTCTCCAAGACGACTCAAAAGGTTTCAATCTTGGAGGCAGGGATAAATATCTCTTCCAGTCCTCAATCAAGATCCTCAAGTCATGAAGTTTGTTATCCATCCCAAAACAACAATTCGCGTGCATGGTGCAAACTCGGTCGAGCTCCCGGCTCGGCTCACAAAAGCCACCGAAGAGGGCAGTATCCAAGAACCTCATCTTCAACCCAATGTCCCTCACAAATGAATCATTCTTAATCCTCTTGAGAACATCCTGATCGTGAAGCCCTGGGTACGTGCTGTGGGAAGCGTACCAAAACTTGTAAAACTCAACAGATCGGCCATTCGACCGAACAAACTTAAACCCTCCGTTGGGTACATTGTTCACTAAATCGTCGGCTGAGCCCGAGAAGTGATCGCACGCTATCTGGAAATCGGCGCCCGGGTGAAACTCCGGGAACGGGTCCCGGAACCACATGACGTCAGCGTCGGTGAAGACGAAGCTGTACCCCATCTCGAGCACAGATCGGAGGAAATCGATCCTCCGCCACATCATGTTCAGGTAGTCCGGCGTCATGAAATAGGCCTCGCGCGAGAAGTCGGCCCCAGGGGTGACGAGTGCGAAGCAATGGGAGTGTACGGCCCGGCAACGGAAGAACGCCTTCCGATCTAACGCGACGATGACCAAATGGTTCAGAAGACGGCGAGTTCGCTCACCGATTCTGAAGCTCTCGAGGAAGAGATCGAGGATGGAGTTCGGGCCCGCCCAGGCCTCGTTCAGGGTCGTCAGTATAACCGATTTATCTGGCATCGCGGCGTCCTTCAGGACTCTCTCGAGGCTACGGTCCTCCGAGGGGAAGGAATCGCCGTCAGTGAGGGTGGGGAACACGTGGGGGTCGCGTGGGAGACGGAAGGGCATTGAGTCGGCAGCTCTGTACAGGAAGACGCAGGATAGAGCCACCGCGAAGAGGAGGATCGCCCAAATTGCATTGCGGCGGAGGACGGCGGCGGAGGACGGTAGCTCCATCGGCGGCATAGACCGATTTTTACTTTTTGGGCGGTGTCCCTTTATTTAAGTGCATTTAACCTGTGTTTGGTCTTCAACGACAAAATAACGGAGAAAAGGGTAAATTTAATTATGAGTGATGCTATATGTACATAATATTGTACGTAATGTACATAACACTCACATTGAGTGTACGTAGTGTATATTTCATGTACATTTATTATGTACTTGTAGCATTTTACTTTAATTTTAAGTAACCACAAACGAGTTAGTGTGTTTGTTAAACAAGTTGAGTTAGGTTCTAGTTTATTTAGTTATCATATAAACTTTCTGTATACAAATAAATTAGATTGGTATGACAAACATTTTTAAAAGTTTGAATTTGTCTCATAAGTTTTATTAAGTAGCTTTTTAAATAAGCTTGTTAGAAATTTTTATTTCAATTGGTTTATCGACTAATTTTAAGAAACACTTTTATTATATCAACTAGTTTTTTTAGTCATAAGTCATAAACCATCAGTTATAAGCTCAAAATTTACTTATAATCTATCAACTAATTAATCAGCTACTAGCTAGCTTAATCATTAGATAAATACACGCCTAAACCGAGTTTAATCCTTTTAAATGGGACGATGCATTTATTGAACTCTTACATTTTTTGTGTATAATAAATACGGCCTCATGTACCCCTCAGAAAATAAAGAGGTCACAATCAATCATATGTAAAAGCACACATCACAGTAAATCCTCTCCATAACATTTCACAGAGAACTCTATTCTCCTTGTTGATCTTATTTACATATCGGCAAATTCATCATCTTATTATTTTCCGTACTTGTCTTTTCATTTTCTCAGTTCTTCCTTATTTTACCAATAGTACATCCCAATTCTATTAATTACTCGGTAACTCCCGATTTAACTGCGTATTAAAACACGATATGTAACCGTTGGCGGTCGACTGTCAATAAAGTGACGCTAGAAGAAGGACGACCATCAAGGGTTACCTCTGAACCTGCCCCTATAAAAAGTAAGACTGCACATTCAGTCAAAAAACCAAACCAAACCGAGCGAATTCTATAGAGTGTGGAGAGAGAATAATGTGTTGGTGTGTATACTGAAAGCATGATTTTTTGTTAATACTATTCTCGTTTGAATGATAAACATGCTTAATTAAATAGTCTACCACTACAAGAAAATGATGAAATTCCAACGGAAATATATTTCAAAAGAATTATTCCAACGGCAATTCCAACAGATATTTCATACTATTATTTCTGTTGGAATTTTTCAATAGATTCCAACGGAAATTCCAACGAAAATATTCCGTTGGAATGAGTTTTCCATTGGAATTTCAGTTGGATTTTGACGATTCCAACGGTGGATTTTCCAACGGGGGTGGAAAAAAAAATCCAACGGAATTTTCATATTCCAACGAAAATTCCTACAGTAAAAAACCGTTGGAAATATGGCCGTTGGAATCATCAAATTCCATCTAAAATTCCAACGAAAAACACATTCCAACGGAATATTTCCGTTGGAATTTCTGTTGGAACTATTCCAACGGAAGCTATTCCATTGGAAAATCCGTTGGAATTTCCATTGGAATATATTACCATAGGAATTTCCGTTGGAATATAACATTTATTTTGTAGTGTACGTTCTAATGCTTTACATTTAGATATCGTGGTCCATCATGGATGAGATTATGTATCGATTACTTGTAAAATAAAAATAATTTAGTTCACAACCTAGATGGAATTGAACAACCCAACGTGAATGGTTGTAGTGTCAACTGCATAGTCTGTCTTGACTGATTGGTTGCACTAGTTGTGAATATTGAACGTATCTCAGAGAGGATAAGTTTTTTTTGAACTGATCGGTAAACAAACTAGACCTCAATTAATTATTGCGTACTCTTAATCCGTAAGATATAAAAAGACACGTGCATATAGTGGCTACTACTGTGATTCACCAAAAAAGTGAGATTCATTTGGGTCAATAGTCTGACGTGTTTTGGGTAGTAGTGATGTGTGTATGGTATGTTATTCTTACGGTCATTGTGTGCGAGTGTGATGATGTCCCCGATATGAACTCAAGAAGGATTATTATGTTAAACCCGACAAGTGAAATTTATTCCGACATAATAATGTTTTGAGTGGTACTAGTCTCGGTTCAAGAAGTCAATTAATTATATTGTAAGTGAATAAATTAATTGACAGACATTATATCTTAAACACGAGGAGAAAACCAAATAATTATTATTGGAGTGCCCAAATTACTGGGGAGTCCAATAATATTTTTTTTAGTAAATTGAAATATTATTCAAATTAGAGTATAGTGAGTTTGACCCAAATTTGGGAAGCTCATCTTTAATAATAAGGGTCTCAATTATAGCCTATAAATACATCACATCTCTAAGGATTAGGGATTAAGAAAACCCATACGTTTTATATGTTCTAGCTGCCACCTCTCATCCTAGAAACCCCAATCGAAGTATTTCTGAGTTCGTCGCCCACCAAGACAAAGGAGAAGATGTCGGGTCATACAACATAAGATATAAGGTAAATCATAGCGAATAAATAAATAAATATATATATATAT